GGGTATATAATGTGACATTCCCGGCTTAGAGTTTATATTCCCTGAGCCGAAGGCCAAGAGAGATAAACTCTAAGCCGGGAGTGTCACATTATATACCCTTTCTGAAACCTGAATTATACATATATTACGGATTACCCCTGCCTTAATGTTTTTTCCAGTACAAGATATTTGTTAAACATTCATCATGCATACGCAAAGAATTTTGTAATTTGCGGCGAAAATAATTCTATCGTGTATGCAATAATTTGTAATAACGCTTAATTAAGTATTTGATCTGTAAATCCCATGATTTTAAATTAAAAACATATAACTGACGGATACACTTCATTATTTCCCTCTGTGAGACTCTGATGTTCGTTAAGTGTTCTTTATAGCTTTAGACTACGTCACAAAGTAACGTTCATTATGATGACGTTGTTAACGTTCCAATTGGGGTAAAAAAAACGTCGTATATTCCCCGGCAGTTTCCTGAATATATACTGACATCTCTGTGTTGTTCTCAATCACAAAACTCGACACATTTGTAATCCGTAATATATTTATATATATATATATATGATTAGTACGTCTGAACCAGTGACAACTCTACGACAGATTTTATCCATCAGATCACCAGTGATGGTGATACAAAGCTGAAAACACATTCTGTATATATAATTCGTCTAAATAACATTTTTTGTTATTTAGACGAATTATATATATATATATATATATATATATATACAAGTCTAAATTGAAAACAACGTTCAAACCTATGATTGTGTTGGATAAAAACCGCAATTTTTATACGTCTGCATGCAAAACAAATTTCTTGGTAAAGGGGTCTAAATACAGCACAAACAACATTTTCCAAAAGACCAAAAAAGTGACAAAGTATATTTTAACAAAACACATTTGACTAGCAGGTCGAACAACGGATGTTCTCAAACCCTGCTGACTGCCATTGGCGATTGCCAAATACAATGCTCATCAGATGTAACAAAATGAATCTTAAATATTAATTTAATATCAAACAGAAAACAGTAAACTTGCGGAAAAGATGGTATACCGCAAACCAAAGGTGCAAAAATTAGTACATCATATCCGGATTCGACAAATAATGTCTCTTCAGTGATGTTAGGAATCGAAACGGTATTTGGAAGGCCATATAATTTATCCCAATTTAGGATAGACTCTTGAATCTTAAAGAGTCGAAATAGGATGAACGGATCATATAAAACCGACGGCGAATATAATACAAGCCCAAACGAAAAAATATAAACAAGTCTAAATTGAAAACAACGTTCAAACCTATGATTGCGTTGGATAAAAACCGCAAATTTTATACGTGTGCATGCAAAACAAATTACTTGGTAGAGGGGTCTAAATACAGCACAAAAAACATTTTCAAAAAGACCAAAAAAGTGAAAAAAATATTTCAACAAAACGCATTTGACTAGCAGGTCGAACAACATATATATATATAGGTTTATAACTAAAATTAGCATAGATGTTAAAATGAGCATAAAGCATGACATGAATGAATTATTTCAATTAACTAATTCACTAATAAAGAGTCTACAAATACATGTTGACTTACTTTTAGAATGATTTTTGTTTTAATTTCATAGAGAGTAACACGAACAGAAGTATTATTAAGTTTTATATGCGCGGTCGCTGAGGTTGAAAATTTGGCCATATTTTAATTGTGACGTCACGCATGTGTTTGATTGGAATCAGAAATTGGTTCAGAACAAAGAGAAAACAATGTCATATTTATTCATTTTTTGTAATCGTAGTGTTATCCATCTGCCTGATTGTCTTATATTTTCATTTGATTTTTTGTTGTCATTGTCATAAGTAATACTGAACAATTATTATACAGATCAAATCAATAGAGACAAGAATATATTTCAATGGGGGTTCAAAATGTATTATAAGAGTTGTAATTTTGTTTTTCATAATTTCACAATTATAAAAAAAAAAAATACAAAAAAAAATACCAAAAAATAGAACAAACAGAAAGAACAACAATAAATAATCAAAACAAAACAACATTTTCCATATACAGTAAAACAGGTTTAAACAACCCGAAATCAGTACGGACAACTACCCTCGCCAATTTTTTTCATGAATTTTACTTACATGAACAGTTACTTTTGTATTAGTACCCTGTAGCGAAAGGGTTTATGAACTATGCATGGCTTGATTTTACCTCACTGTGAACTAAACAAAATTTTAAATATATGTATATGGAATTCATTTTTTTTTTCTCTCATAAACACTGGCTTTCGTTATTGAATTTTTCTTAAAAATCGATGGTCGCTATTTTGTCAAAGTTGCCAAAGAAAAATGTAAATTAGTTAATTCAATGTATTCTAAGTAATACTTCAAACACACTTGTACATATTCCATGATACTTAATACTTCAAATATCCACTAAAAACGTGTTACAACTACCGCTTTCGGAAACAAAAATAGTAAGCACTGTCATATATGGAATTAAGAAAATAAACTGTAGTCATACCTTTATCAATGGGAACAAATCATATATCTTGTATTTTTACCGACCTTCTATTCAAGTTTGTTATCAAGCTTGTGCAGTCATATGAAACTTTTCCTGTATATTACAAATCTTTCAGTATATTTTCATTGTTATTCAACATTATACAATTATCTAACATACCTAAGAAGACCTTATTTCAAAAAAGATTTTTTTGTCTACTCATTAGAACCCAAACTTATAAACCTGGAGTAGGTCTTTTATTTACTAAAATTTAATCGGAAATGACAAAATACACAACCCTCTGCCCCAAGAATCAGAGGACCTATAATTAGATCGAATGGAGAAAACGGCAAGCATTACATAAATGTTTACAAATTCAAAGATATAACCAGTAAGAATTAAAGTGCATGGTTAATCATCAGCCAAAAACATGGAAATGTTGGCTTAACGGGAATTTATTGACAAAATAATTATACATATCAATAACTAATAGGTGGCCGCAGATGCCTTTTTCTTTTACTTTTTATGTGAATTGTTTTTACTTTGGATAGAAAAATGAATATATAGCTAACCTTATGCTTTGTGTTTTTCCCAACATTTTTATTTTAATGGATACGTTATGCTTCTTTCGAAACGGGGGCATCAGTGACCGAGTGGTCTAAGTAGTCAAACAACTGCATCACTAGCCTGTCAACACTGAGGTTGTGAGTTCGAATTCCGTACGTGGCAGGTGCAATCGACTCCAATCTTAATTACTAGTAACCAGAATTTTCAGTTTTCTTACCGAAGGTCGGTTCTTCTCTCCGTGAACTCCAGCTTCCTGCACCAATAATAAATGACCGCCACGAAACAGCACAATAGTACTAGAAGTGGCGTTAAACACCAATAAATCAATATATCCTCTTTCCAAACGCGAGATGAAAGATATAACAAAGGGCATGTAACTCATAATGGCTGCAATGGGAATTTATTGACAAAATTAATATATTCATTAAGTTGCTATTTTCGTAATATAGGGTGCAATGTGTTTCATCTAATAAGCACCAACATAAAAGGAATGATGTATATATTTTTTGTTCTGGACCACTGAGGTTTGTACATGAAGCATAGGTCGACTATGTATAGAAAGCGATCCGGACACAAACGGTTTTTATAGTGTTCTTTTTATTTATATTGACTTTATTTTTACTTCATCGAAAGAGTGTATACTATATACGGTTTGTACTATCAACGAAAATATTTTGTTTACATCATTGTCTGAGGTACTGCCTTCTACACCTTTCTGTTGGCGTCTATGTGATATTAATGTGTATGTTTATTTGAATGCTTGAGTCAGGAATATGACAGTTGTTGTCCATTCGTTTGATGTGTTTTGTCATTTGATTTTGCCATGTGATTAGGGACTTTCGGATTGAATTTTCCTCGGAGTTCAGTATTTTTGTGATTTTACTTTTTGTGTTGTTTGTCTTTGATATATGTTTTCACAGTTTTGGCTGCTTAATCCCAATAATGGTCACATTAACCTATTGTGTCTGTTTTGGGTTGCTCACACAATGTTGTCGATATATAGGAACTATAAACATTTGTCATACAAGTTTGAGATTTAACAAGCTATAAAACCAGGTTGAAGCCCCCATTTTCTTCGGAAAATGCCTGTACAAGTCATGGGATATGGCAGTTGTTTTTCACTTGTTCTGTTGGTTGATAGCGTTTAATTTTGTCTGTTTTATGGACTCCTCCTTTTAGAATTTTCCTTGGAGTTCGGTATTTTTCTTTTATTTTTTGTTTTGCCGAATTTGGCATACTTTTTTGGCTTAGTTTTTAATGCTCTATATCGTCGTGTTCGATTTGGCCTTACAAATTTTTGATACAAGAGCATTTGATGAGTCTAGCGTACTTATTATGAGCTTGGTATATTTGATGAGTTTTTATAATAACGATATTCCGGTGGGACATGCTCATGTGTTGACATGCAGAATAAACGGTAGGGTCATTTTCTATAAATTTACAATTATTAAAATGATGAATTATATGATAAACTAAGGGTTTTCTTCCCCAAGACATAAACGGCCTTTTGGTTGTCAATGGTCTTTGACTTCGTATGTCTAACTGTTTTAATTAAGTGCCAATGATGAGTTTCGTGTAGAATAAAAAACTGTCTGGCGTACAAAATTATAAGTCTATACTTACTTCCATTTTCGATGAATAAGTACACATTTTTGTTTAGGGGCCAGCTGAAGCCCGCCTCTGGGTGCGGGATTTTCTCGCTGTGTTGAAGACCCATTGGTGGCCTTGGGATGTTTTCTGCTCATTGGTCGGGTTGTTCTGATTTGACACATTCGCCGTTTCCATTCTCAATTTTATCATCTTTTATCAGTATTTATATAACAATTTAAACTCTTCCGTACTCGCCTCTATTCATACTTCTTATGCTTTCTAAAGATTATCATCATCAGCAGCAACTAGTAATTATTTTTTTAAATTTTACTATTATTTTACAGACACTGTGGACAGGATGAAACAATTAACAGTAGTATGGCTTGTTCTTAGTTTTACAATTGCGATTGTTTCTGGCAAGAAATGTCCATTAGATCCGCCATGTAAATGTACGCAAAGGACAGGAATAATCGATTGTTCTAGTAAAAATCTAACAGAAATACCTCCTTTATCAAAGAATTTAAGTGAAATAAACTTCAGTGGAAATTTGATCACGGAAATTCCTGACTATGTTTTCCAAAACAACGATCAACTTGAATCGTTAGACTTATCCCACAATCTAATTTCTAAATTACGTCAGAGATCCTTTTCTGGACTAGTGAGTCTTAAAAGACTACTTCTAAACAACAACAACATAATAGCTGTACATGAGTATGCTTTGACTGTCTTAAAGAGTTTGCTGGAACTTAACTTTAAAAGGAACCCTTATGACTCATTGGATTTGAACTTAACGGGAATTTCACTTGTTACGGCCAAATTAGACTTCCGACAACCAAACAACATGACTAGAAATTTTTGGAGAATGCCGAATCTCAGAAACTTGGATGTATCTGGTGTGTCTGGTGCATGTAATGTGAAAACTTTAACAGCACAAGTCTTTCGACTGTTACCAAAAATTGAAACAATTAATATGTCGAAATGTTCTATCAATTACATTTATAAAGGAACCTTTCGTAAGTTAAGCAATTTGACTAACCTTGATGTGTCGTTAAATCGATGTTTAAAGTTTTCGGGTATCGAAAATATTACCTACGATCTGCCATTTACATCAATTAAAACATTGAATATTAACAGAGTGCATCAAAATTTCGAACTAAATACAGAAATCACTATTACAAATTTTCAGAACCTTAAAAATACAACACTAGAAACTTTACACATTGATGGTAATAGAATCCAACTAGTTGAGCCAGGAGCGCTTTTGCATTTACCAAAAACGATGCAAAATTTGTTTGCGGCTGAAAATGAATTTTCCTATAGTGGTTTTATTGACGATATCACAAAGGTTCCGATACTGTTTGCAAATATATCAAATTTGTTTGCAGTACATAATCCAACCGAAGTACCAGAAACGTGTGACTTTGTTGAAAACAGATGTATAAGATCAAAAGACGGCAATAAAAGATTATCAGAACTTTACCTGCATCCACAGTTGGAGGAAAATAAGACTTATCCAGCTTTTATACCTGTATCGGTTCCCCCGAATTTGACTACGTTTATTTGCAAAGGTTGTAATCTGCGATATGAAATTCCCCTTGTTTTCATTACAAACAATAAACTGAAACATATTGATGCTAGCTCAAACATATTTTTCTCTTGGACTGGACCTCTGCAGTCGTTAAATAACCTTGAATACGTAAATATGTCAAATAATTTCTGTTCCAACATATCTAAGAATTTTTTCATAGGACTTCTAAATCTAAAATACCTTTACATTCAAAATAACTTGCTTGGCTTTGTTTTGCCAAAAGATGAGGATGGCGAAATACTAAGAGACGTTAAAAAACTTGAAGAAATTGACTTGTCGTTAAATAGAATCCAACTGCTTCCATGGTTGTTTTTCAAACAGCAGAGATTGCTACGCAAGTTGACTATTAGTAATAACATGTTAGATAATATCACATTTGATTTAAGTCATATGGATCACTTGATGTACCTTGATATTTCAAAAAACAGACTGTCATCTCTTTCTATAAGTTTTCGGGATCAGCTTAAAGCGAAATTCAAAAAGAATGAAAATCTTAAAGTTGATATAAGCGAGAATAATTTTCGATGCACTTGTGACAATGTCGATTTCGTTCAATGGGTTTCAATATATCATCCATATCTTGACAATTTACATTTAACAAGCTGCTATCTTAAAGATAGAACCACACTTAACCTGAAAGAAGCTCAACATATATATGATATGCTTAAAAAAGAGTGTTCATCATATACTGCTCTGATCATAGGAATGGTAGTACTCGTCGCCTTCTTTGGGTCAATAGTTCTTTGGGGTTTAATATATAGACACAGGTGGAAAATACGCTATCTGTACTATATAATCAAAAGTAAATATCAAGGCACAATAAAAACACCAATTAACACCGATACTCGCGAATATAAATACGATGCATTCATTTCCTACGAAGAATATGACTCAAATTTTGTACACAATAATCTTTTACATCAACTTGAAAGAGAAGGAGGACTAAAACTATGCATCCATAAAAGAGACTTTATCCCAGGAAACGATATTGCGGCTAATATTACTTCATCTATTCATGTTAGTCGTAAAGTAATCATTGTTATGTCATGTCACTTTTTAGAATCGTACTGGTGCATGTTCGAATACAACATGGCAAGAATGGAAAGTATTTATTCTAGAGATAAAGAAAATATTTTATTTATGATTTTCCTGGAACAAATCCGACCTGGGCAGCTACCACTTCACATTCTAGAACTTGTACAAGATCAGTCTTACATTGAGTATCCGAATGATGAATATGGCAACACAGTGTTTTGGGAAAAGCTAAGAGAAGTCCTAGCACGTTAATATCGGTACAGATAAGAAGAGGAATAGCAGTACTGCTTTTCGAAGTTCTAAAATCAGAGCGGAGTTAGTAGAATGAATAGTAGACGTTAGCAATAGTCTTCATATACAATAAAGTAAACTTTTATTCCCTAAGTATCATAATCTGTTAAACAACATACATTATATGTAATAACGTATTAGACATATCTATCATATGTTGACATTCTATATATCTGTCTTTCATTTTTATGATTACATTTATTAAAATATATTAATCTGATTTTTAATATTTATATCTACTGAATATGCAGGACATATATTTTTCCTCCAGACTTTAAACGAATGGCCATGCACAACAATATTGAATTTATGCTCAATTTGATTAAGGACGTGTTATTTTAGCAAAATTTAGGACTAGCATAATGTGTTAAACACATAACAGAGAAGAATGATAGTTAGATGGAAAAACATGTTCAAGAACTTGGAGATAACATGAACATAAGAGAAGAATATCTAACAAGTTTAATTAAGGTAACAATTTCCTCTGATGTTTAATCCCGGTTATGACAGCTGAGGGAATACCAGAAATTATTGTTCACACTCAAATCGGTGTTATAGGCTTAATAATATTATTAAGACAAACGTGATTCTCAAGTTTGTTTGGTTAATATTGTTAAGTTTTAACTGTGCACCCCTGCTTGTCGACCTGTTTTTGTACTTAAATGAAATTTAATTTATATAAGAAGCTTTAAGCGAGACGAACAACATTCAGCAAAATCTTTATTTTTCCGACTCATTTCCCTCAATAATTTGTTTTTCAGTCAGTAGTCCTCTATAAGAAAAAAAAATAGCAACAAATTTCACATGGGACTTAATATTACATAAAGTCCGGGATTCTATGCTAAAAAGTAAAATCACAAAAATACTGAACTCCGAGGAAAATTCAAAACGGAAAGTCCCTAATCAAATGACAAAAGGATATATTTGTTGAAAGTCTTATTACAATAGTCTCAGAATGGACAAAGTGGAGACTTTCTTCCATATGATTGGAAAGGCAGGGCCAAATAATCTCCATATAGATAATAACATTACCAGTGCCAATTTGTCTGCCCCAAATGTGCATTTTGACAATAATAATCTCTTATGTGAAGTTCGAGGCAGAAATATATAAAATCCTAAACTTATTAAAAAAACGAAAATCTTATAACCAAAAAGGACAAAAAGTATAGCAAAAGAATGACAAGGAATCAAGGTTTTGCATGAGAAAGATACATTCCTTAATTCAAAATTATATCCAACATTTTGTAACAGGCAATTTTAATAACACAATATCCATATTTCATGCCAGTACTGAAGTACTGGCTCCAGGGCTTGTGATACCCTCGGGAACTAACAGTCCACCAGCAGAGGTATCGACTCAGTGGTACTAATAACATTAACATTAACCGTAGTAGTAAGCCTTAAAAATGCATCTAATTACAGCTTACAATATTTTTATGCCTGCCTCATCTCCGCTTTAATTAGCAAGAAAATCAACGGCCTGATTTAGGTACAAAATAAAAAACGAAAAGCAATTATGATATACAACAACAAACGACAACCACTTAATTACAGGCTCTTGACTAGGGACAGGCATATACAGAATGTTACGGATTAAACATGTTTTCGAGCGCACAACCCTACCCTAACCTGTGACAATGGTGTAACAGCACAACATAAGAAAATCAGTTGAAAATTGAAGCCCATCAGATCAATACCAGGCATAAACAACTTTTAAAAACAACTATGTATAATGTATGGTAAAGTTACTAGGAGTTGAAAACTGTGATGATTAGCATATTAATGAGGTTCATCAGTGAACTTCTCATAATCATGGCATTGCTGGAGAAGTTTCTGAGTTATGAGTATACCTCTATTAGTGCAATTGCTCTATGAATAATCAATCATATTGTCTCCATTGAAATACATATTTGTCAAAGACTTCATTAGATGGTATCATTGGAACTTAACAAAAGGATAGAAATCATTACATTGGTTATATATGTTTTCTTCAGTTATCTATTAGCATACATTCATAGAAATATTACTAGATACTTAAAAAATATCCTATCAACCAGAATCAAAAACGCATTACATATACGTACATGAATGAAACAATAACTTTCATGATTCTTGTTTGTTTTTCAATAATAGATGTCACATTCATTCTAACAGTTATCACGCCTTCTTACCACTGCTTTCAAACTAAGTCCTAAGAAAATTGTTTAAGCAAACTAGCTCAGCCATCTAGACCAATTGGTTACTTTAGTGGTCATCTTGTATGACAGGTATATAGTTGTAATACCACCAAATCATAGTACGTCAATCCGGTTTCATACGAAAAAGGGTCGAAAAAAATATTCCCTTGAATTTGAAAGTTGTAGGAAATTAACTCTGCATTTCATTGCAGAAAAAAAAAATGAGCCATAAACGTATACCTTGAGTTTCTAGAAGCACCATTATTTTTTTCATATGGTGTATCTATTAAATATTATGGAAACTTGAGGTGACATGGTGACTAAAGCTTTTAAACAGGAAAAAGAGGGGTGAAAATTTAATTGGTAACTTTCGGTGACGGTTATTTTCTTATATGCAATGAAATGTTATGTGACATTTTAACTGTAGTACAGGACAGGATAAAACTTTACTCATGCTAAGTATTTCTATATTTGAAACAAAGATAAATTTTGCACAATTTTTTTAAAAGTCCCAATGTAACATAGACTAACTGGGGAAACAATGGTGGTATTACTTCTATATAACGTTAGAATGAACTGGGTAGGATGATATATGCTAACATTCAGTGATGCTTAAGCTTATACATTTTTTCAACAGAAACTCAACTAAAAGGTATAACGAGTCCCGTGTCGCTTACCTAAATATAGGTCTTTTATCAACAATGGCCACTCTTTATTGAAAAAAAACATATAAGGACAATAACTCCTATTGGAAGTCGTCTGACAGTTTTGATGGAAAGGCAGAAAAGGTAGATCTCATTATTTTGAACATTTCTATCCCGGTCAGATTTTCTCTATTAATAGCGGTTTTCAGGGTAATAGACAAACTTTGCATTTTACGTCGATGTTCTATGTTTAGCCATGTCGGCCTTGTTATTAAAATACAGATTGTAAGGTTAATTTCCCCCACTTTGCATGTATTATCATACAGATTGTAAAGTTCATTTCCCCTTCTTTGCATGTATTATAATACAGATTGTAAGGGTAATTTCTCCCACTTTGCATGTATTTTCATACAGATTGTAAGGGTTATTTCCCCCACTTTGCATGTATTTTCATACAGATTGTAAGGGTTATTTCCCCCACTTTGCATGTATTATCATACAGATTGTAAAGTTCATTTCCCCTTCTTTGCATGTATTATAATACAGATTGTAAGGGTAATTTCTCCCACTTTGCATGTATTATCATACAGATTGTAAGGGTTATTTCCCCCACTTTGCATGTATTATCATACAGATTGTAAAGTTCATTTCCCCTTCTTTGCATGTATTATAATACAGATTGTAAGGGTTATTTCCCCTTCTTTGCATGTATTATCATACAGATTGTAAGGGTTATTTCCCCCACTTTGCATGTATTATCATACAGATTGTTAAGTTCATTTCCCCTTCTTTGCATGTATTATCATACAGGTTGTAAGGGTTATTTCCCCCACTTTGCATGTATTATCATACAGATTGTAAGGGTTATTTCCCCCACTTTGCATGTATTATCATACAGATTGTAAGGGTTATTTCCCCCACTTTGCATGTATTATCATACAGATTGTAAGGGTTATTTCCCCCACTTTGCATGTATTATCATACAGATTGTAAGAGTCATTTCTCATGTTTGTAGGTATTTACATACACATTGTAAGAGTTTATTTTCCCAACTTTGCATGTATTATCATACAGAATGTAAGGGTTATTTGCCCAACTTTGCATGTATTATCATACAGATTGTAAGAGTTTATTTCCCCTTCTTTGCATGTATTATCATACAGATTGTAAGGGTTATTTCCCCTACTTTGCATGTATTATCATACAGATTGTAAGGGTTATTGCCCCCACTTTGCATGTATTATCATACAGATTGTAAGGGTAATTTCCCCCACTTTGCATGTATTATCATACAGATTGTAAGAGTTTATTTCCACCACTTTGCATGTATTATCATACAGATTGTGAGGGTTATTTCCCCCACTTTGCATGTATTAGTATACAGATTGTAAGAGTTATTTTCCCCACTTTGCATGTATTATCATACAGATTGTAAGAGTCATTTCTCATGTTTGTAGGTATTTACATACACATTGTAAGAGTTTATTTCCCCAACTTTGCATGTATTATCATACAGATTGTAAGGGTTATTTGCCCCACTTTGCATGTATTATCATACAGATTGTAAGAGTCATTTCTCATGTTTGTAGGTATTTACATACACATTGTAAGAGTTTTTTCAAATATTTTAATACAGACGAAGAACCTGTAATTCAGTGTTTGTCGTTTGTTGTTGTATATCGTATTTTTTTAGTTCAATGTTTTGTACATAATTCAGGCAGTTAGATTTCTGGTTAAATTGTTTTATATATGTCATTTCGGGGCATTTTATAGCTAACCATGTGGTATGGGTTTTGCGCTTTGTTGAAGGCCATATGGTGACCTATAGATGTTAACTTCTATGTCATTTGGTCTTTGGTGGATAGTTGTTCCATCGGCAATCATACCACATCTTCTTATTTTTGCAGATCATGAATTTTATTTTATGTCGTAGGCATTTTCAAATTATTCATAAGAGTTATTCAACCATCTTTGAATATATTTTCCTATAGATTGTACGGGTTATTTCCCCTTCTTTGCATGCATTATCATACAGATTGTAAGGTATATTCCCCCCACTTTGCACGTATTATCATACAGATTGTAAGGGTTATTTCCCTCACTTTGCATGTATTATCACTCAGATTGTAAGGGTTATTTCCCCCACTTTGCATGTATTATCATACAGATTGTAAAGTTCATTTCCCCCACTTTGCATGTATTATTATACAGATTGTAAGGGTAATTTCCCCCACTTTGCATGTATTATAATACAGATTGTAAGAGTTTATTTCCACCACTTTGCATGTATTATCATACAGATTGTAAGGGTTATTTCCCCCACTTTGCATGTATTATCATGCAGATTGTAAGGGTTATTTCCCCTCCTTTGCATGTATTATCATGCAGATTGT